ACAACATTCTGTGGAATATCAATCAGTCAATCAATAAACATTTATTAAGTGCCTGCTATGTACCAAGTATTGTGCTAAGCACTGGGGATACAGAAAGAGGCAAAAGACAGTCCCTGCCTTCAAGGACCTTATAATCTAAAGGTGATGACAACATGCAAACAAATATACACAAAGCAAGTTATACACAGCATAAAAAGGAAATAATTAATAGAGGGAAAGCATTGGAATGAAGAGGGTTTGAGGAAAGCCTCTTGTAAAAGTTGGGATTTTAGTTGGGACTTGAAGGAAGTCAGTATTTGGAACAGAGGAGAGAGATAGGGAGGGCATTACAAGGGTAAGGGAAAACCAGAGAGAATAGCTAGAGCTGAGAGATGGAGTATCTTGTTTGAGTCAGGGACTCTGGATGCAGTATGACGACCTGGCACAACTGACTTAACTTTTCTGAATCTTAGCTCCTTGGATAAAGAATTATTTCATTCATTGTATTTGTATCCCTAGGATCTAATACAATGTCCTGAACATAGTAATACTTGTTAATTATTTGGTTTCTTCATCTGTGGAATGGGATGGTGGGAGGAGAAAAAGTTGAACTAGATGATCTCTTGAGCCCCTTCCAAATCTTTAGCTACTTCTCTACTTGATTAGTATCATTAATTTGATGGAACCTTGATTTCAACAGCATACAGCACTCTACAGATGAAGATCACAGCCCCTACATACCTCACGCTGTTTTTTTGCCCACATTTTTCAAGAATCCTGAATTGAGGATCCACTCAATGGACTGTTGCACTTACTCAAATTATTTTTAACATATCAGCGTGGCAATCAGTATATTACCTAGCAATATTCACTCACTGTTTCTTATTCTCCATGTATGAACTCATCTCCTTTTCCAGTCATCTAGATCAGGGCTTCTTAAACTTTTTCCATTTGCAAACCCTTTAGTGCTTCTTGAACTGTGGTCTCGACCCCAAATTGAGATCTACATGTAGAGCTGAAGGTTACCCGGTCCAACACTTTAATTTTATAGACAAGGAAATTAAGATTCTGGGAGGTGAAGAGAACCCCACAGAACTGGAATTTGAAAGCAGGTCTTCTGACTCCAAATCCAACAACTTCTTTCTTTGTACCTTACTGTCATTTGTAGCCCTTTTCCAGTACAGGTCACCATCAGTAATAAGGTGCAACTTATTGAAGACTACTATGCTTTTTCATTGCCCCTAGCATTATCTCAAATTTTTATTCTCCCAAGATTGTGTTGTTCCACTACCCACTGCCAAATACCACCAATAAGATAACTGGCATCAGAGAGCCATTATTTTGCAATCCAATGAGTGTTTCATGAACCAAGACAAGAGGGAATGTCTGAACTACAAATGAATGTCTCTTCTCTGCCAAAATCCACAGAGTAACACAATATCCCTTTATAAGTAAAGGGCTGGCTCTGCTAGAAAACATAACAATGGGAGCTGCTGATTTTTACAAAGGAACTAAACAGTAAACAAACAAGAAAAAATGTTTTATGGCCATCAACATATAAGTTACTCACTTTGTCCAAGATTCATAGCTAATCAATAGGAATCAATACCATGACAAAACAGCAAGTTATTTTGGATTCAATGCTGCATTTTCTTCTAGACTTTCTGGACTTTATAATCATGCTTTCTCTACCAATGGCTCATCCTGGAACTTCCCTCAGAGCCTAGGGACTCCAGAAGAACCACCCCTGCCATCTGCTCAACCATTTCCCATTGGTGAGTTCCTCCTGGAAGTTCCATTTTGTGGAAAAGCCCACAACAACTTACCTTCATTCTCCCCCTGGCCCTATCTGTGACTTTTAGGACTTCAAAACCATACCCTCAAAACCAGGTAACTTCCTCTCCCATATAGTAAGTGTTAAATAAAATCTTCTAAATTTTGATTCTTTCAAGGTTGCCATTCCACCATCCACAGCTAAATACCATCAATAAGAAAAATGGCATTAGAATTTTGCAACAATGAAGTTTAGCATCACTGAAAATGCACAATTTCCATTACAATTCAATACTGAAATTTTATGTCATTCAACAAGCATCTATTAAGAGCCTACTTTGCACCACGCAATGTGGTAATAGTCACTGGAAATACAAAAAGGAGAATAAAAAACAAGACAACCCAGTCTTTGCTCCCAAAGTGCTCACAGTCTAATGGGGGGGAGGGAGTGAGGCCAACTTGCAAATATGTACAAATAAGATACATACAGGACAATTTAGAGATAACCAACCAGGGGGGGAAGGCATGAGCAATACAGAGTATCAGCAAAAGTTTCTCGTAGAAGGTGGGATTTGAGTTGGGATCTGAAGGAACACAGGGACTGAGATGAAAAAGGGGATAATTCCAAATGCTCAGAATCAGGAAGACCATGCCTTGTGGGAGGTACAGCAGGGAGGCCAGTGTGAATGGACCACAGAGTATGGGAATAAGAAGCCTGAAATGGCAGGAGATGGAGCAAGGTTATAAAAACGCTTACTTAGATCACCAAAGGATCTTGTATTTTATCCTGGGGCTGATAGATAGTCCTTAATGGTTACTGAATGGTGAGTGTGTGTGTGTGTGTGTGTGTGTGTGTGTTTTTACATGATAAGATCTGGATGCCAGTTTTACCAGTTTTCCCTTTCCAAATGGGGTATGCAAGTAGAACATTTGAAAAATAAGTATCCTTTTAATCAAAGTTATTCACTTTGAGTATATATCTATTTTCAAAGGTGTCCTTTCAAATATCTTCAAGTAAAAGGATTCCAGTTTTTCCCAGTAAAATTTTTTGCTGTTTAACATCTCATTGAAATAAATATTTTCTAGTCTTCCACCTATAGTTTCTTTGCTTCAGACACAAATCTCATAATATGATGGCCACTTTAAATCAAATAAATTTTGTTATAACTCAGTCTGTAACCTTACAGAAAGGATAAATTTTTGAGTTTTAATGAACTAAGGTTTTGGTGCACTAACAAATAGAAGAAATCAAACTCTGAAAATAAGTAGTTTCTCTAACAATATATAGACTAATCAATGGTATATGTAGTGTACTGTAAAAGATATTATTTCATAAGAAAGAATTCATGTTACATTTTTTGTTTTAGGAGAAATCACTCCTAGGACACTGATGTTAACCTTTTAAAAAATAAGTACCCTTAAAAAATTTTTCTTAAAGATCTCCTGATAATTTTTAGAAATGGAGAAAAAAGCAGCACTATGCAGCTTTGCAAAAGAAGCTTTATTTATATATACTTCCCTGCTTATTCAACCCCATCAGCTTCTAGCACTCAGATTAAAAGTGAGCATAGAACACATACTTAATATTAACCTTCCTCCTCCCACTCTGCCAAAATTTTCAGCACTTCATTTGGACAGGGAAACAAGTATCGTTTCAAATCCAAAGAAATCGAACCAAATCACCAGGAACAATCTCCCTCCTCATTTTTTTTTTTTGCGATTCTCAACACCAATATTTTATCTCCTTAAATCTTTAATGATGTCGACAGCATTCTTTCCTCCTTAAAACGCTATCTAAATTTCAGTTACTCATCCTCATCATTATTGCCACACAAGCTCGTCCCTGGCTTCCGAAGGGAACACGTAGGAGTGGAGGCTCCGCGAAAAGCAGGCCAGGGGAGCCGCTCGGCGCCAGCGCCGGCCCCCTCCCCCAACGGGGACCAGATGGAGACGGTGGGGGCGACGAAGGGGAACGAGCGAATGGCGCAGAGAATAAATACTTGGGAGTGCTGCACCTCAGGAGGAAAACGCACACATCTGCGTCAGGTTCCTAGGCCTGCCTTCCAAGACAGTTTCTCCCCCTCATTTCCCTTCCCTCCCCCCAACCCAGGATGGACCCTAGGGTCCATCACAGCGCCTGCCTCGGGACCTTCATCAGGAGCCATCATTTCCCTCTCAAAGTATCCCTCCTCCGCCACAACGAGTCCCGGTCTGGCCGCGACCTTGGCAGCCTCCACACCAGACGGCGAGCGGCGGCCTCTGAAGTGGGATTGGGGCGGGGGGGGGGTGGCTGGAACCGCCTGGGTCCGTCCGGCCTAGCGAGCCTCCCTCCTTTCCTCGTTCCCCTCCTCCTCGTTTTTCCTTCCTCCTCTGGTCTCCCAGCTCCAGGGAGGGGATGGAATCTGCGCCTGACTGGCTCCCCTCCGTCCATCGCACCCTGCTTCGGCCAAAACTAATTGCGTACGCAGGTTGCCTCGATCCTTACCTCAGAGTGAAGACCGCGCTCACCGAGGCGGCGGCAGCGCCCGCTAGCTCCTCCTCAGCCAGACGGCTTAGCCCCTGCTTCTGCCACGGCCAGCGCGCGATCGATCCCGGCATGCTCTGCTCCGCGCCAGGGCCTCCCAGTTCACTGCCCGCCCCTTTCTCTCATCACACGTGACCCCTCTACTCCTTCTCCGCCCACTTCCGCTCATCAACCCTCCTGGAGGTGGGAGGGGGAAGCCGAGGAGTTCAACTTCCTCCTCCTCCTTCTTCTCCTCCTTCTCCTCTTCCTCCTCGTCTCCCCCCTGTCCCCCGCCTCCTTCCCCCGTTATTCCTCACCCCTGTCCTTCTCTCCAACACCTTCCGGGTCGCGGGCGCCGAGGTGCCCTCTGGGTAACCATCTCATTTCCTCCCCTCCCCCTCCTTCTGCCCTCAACCAACCAGCCTCCCGTCAGGGAGGGACATGCGCAGTGAGAACCTCCCATCTCTTCTAACAGAACCCCCCTCCCCCCCAAACCAGAGAGACCCCAGCAGCAGCAGCAGCTGATGATGAAGAGAGAGGCAGAGGCTAAGGGGGGGCACCTTTTATTTCTATTTTTAAAGGGACAGGACACTAATTTTACCCCACTTCAACCTTGAATTGCGAAGGGGGGGAGGCGATTGAGTTCCTTCCCCCACCCTCCACCCCTGAGCTCAGAGAGGGGAATTGAGCCTGAGAGAGAAGGAGAGTTTCTTCTTCTTCTTCTAACCCCCCCTTACCACTCCTGCCCCCCTCCTCTCTCTCCTCAACCCCCTCCACCCCCCTCTCTTTGGCCGTGAGAGGAGGAGAGAAAGAGACCAAAAGCCTCTTAGCAACACAGCCCCTTCTCTGCTGCTGCTGCTGCTAAAGCTGCTGCTGCTGCTAAGGCTGCTGCTGCTGCTAAAGCTGCTGCTGCTATTGCTGCTCCTGCTGCTGCTGTTGCTTGGCCCTGGCTGGAGACATCTCACTACACCCAGGAGCAGCCACTTCCCCCAGCTCTCCTCCTCCTCCTCCTCTCCTGCTCTCCTCCTCCTCCTCCTCTTCTCCTCCTCCTCCTCCACTCCCCCCCTTTATTACCCTTTGTGTCATCCTCCACAGCTCCAGGGAAGGGACTCAAAAGTGGGGGGCAGGAAAGGTAAGTGTGTCTGTGGGGGCTTCATTGCCTCCCTCTGGCTCTGACTTTCACTTCGGGGCAACAGTAGCACCAAACCACATACGCAGTGGAGATCGGGGGGTGAAGTGGGGGGCGTAGGTGGTGGTGCTGGGAGGTGGAGGGGGGGGACTGAAAAAGGGAATGGACTAGAAAGTGTGTGTGTGTGGTGGGATGCCCATCTCCCTCTTGCTAGCCAGGAAAAGGACACTTTTATTTTTATTTATTGTTTTCAAAAGTGATTTTTCCCCTTCATGTGGCAGATTATTGTGTCTCTTTGCTTCAGTGGGGTAATACAGAAAAACAAACCCCTTCCTGCAGTGGAGCTGGGGCGGGGGGGGGGGAGGAAGGCAGAGAGAGAGAGAGAGAGAGAGAGACTGACTGACTGACTGACTTTTTAGATCTGTCACTTTAAAAAAATTCAATTGCATAGCCTTTTTTCTTTTTGCCCAGCAAACCTACACTGGGTTTGATTCTGAGTGGGGAAATGTCATAGTATGGATTGTATTAGAACTACTTTGCCCATTTATAGACGTGAGTGTTTTCCCCTTTTTGGCCCTGTATCTAATTTGGATATTGACTCCAGTTTTGGAATGGGCTTCTTGGTATTTTTCGTTTTGTGGTTGAAATTTCAGTTTTTAGTTGTATTTGTTTCTCAGAGATAGATTTCTCTTGTAACGTATTGAAGATCTTTACTAATAGAAGTGATAGGGCATGATTTGTCTTCTATACTTCACTTTTTAGCTAATTGGTTCCATATATCACTATATAAAGTTTAATGCTCAAAAGGCAAAGTTTAAATAATACCTGTATTCTCTTTTTCCATATTCATTTCTGATGGAATTTGTTTTCAGTAAGGCTTGAATTATAACTGCTGTATAATTAAGTTGAGTATTCCACTTCTTTTAAGTTAGCAGAAACAAGTCACCCCCACTTGAAAACTTTTGTTATTTTGATTTCAAGGAAAGCCAAGCTTTTGCATCAATAGTTTGTTGGATTGGGTATCACTTTCAGTTTTAACTGAATTATTTATTTAATCTTGTAAATTGCGATGAATTTTTCATCTCTTGGGGTAGTGAACCTATTTGCTTATTACATATGAAAGAAAGATTTTTGAAAGATGCTTTTGAGAGTCAAGGAAATCACAAAGTGTAGGAGTCATGGTGCCAGACAAAAACCAGCAAAGATATATAGGCTTAAAGCTTATTCAGCCATTATTTTTATTTAAAAATATTGTTTTCTGTTTTTATCAATAACCTTCCCTTACTGATTTTCCTTAGAATTGAGGGAGTGCTTTCATTTTACAAATGCTAGAAAGTATGTTTCTGAACGCTAGTATGTAGGCCTTTTGGTAAGGCTTGAGTTAGAAAATGGGATTCGGTTTCATACATGTATGTTCTTTATCCTTTATTTGAAGAGGGATATACACGTACATATACACACACAAATCCTTTCTTTGTAAATGCATTGGTATCTCTGATCCCATAATTTATGTCAGCAAAAAATATTCTTCTGTAAAGCAGCAATTTTATGATCAGACTAGCAATATGAAAACAGCAATTTGATCAGCCTGGAAAGGATGGGTGAAAAATAAATCTAGAATGATATGTAACATAAATATTATGAATAAGTGATTAGAGAAATAAATATAACTAACAGTTTTTAATTTTAATCTTGTGTTTTTTAGATTATTAAATCAAAGGATATGATATTAGAGTTCTAATATGACATGCATATGTGCAGAAACTTGCTCTGTAAAATTGTAATTAACAACTTGTGCAAAAGTAGTCATTTACATTCAGGGGAAAAAAAGCTGTTGAAATAAGCATATGATTCTATTTCCTGTTCTCATGTTACAAATTAGTATAGTCCTTCTCTTGGCTTTATTTGAGGTGATACTGATGTGCTTGATGTGCAAGCAGAAACCTGTGCCATGTTCAGATTTATTCCCCTAACATCAATATCATTTCAGGTCCAGCTATGATTTTCTGTCCTCTAGATAGAACCAGAACAACCTGTAACTTACGAGACGTAGGGTGGCACTTTAGTGAAGAAATCTATGTAAAGTGAAGAAAATTTTGGAGATAACTGGGTTTGTTCAAAATAGTTGCCCAGTGGGCAGCTAAGTAAAACTTCTCAAATTTGTGTGTTGAGTACAATTCCTTTTATTTGTCTGTGCAATTTAGCTTCTGAAAACTTCCCCCAGTACCTTATGTAGACTCCTATCTAAGTAACCCTTTGTGGGCTGTTTATGCTAAACTTCCCAAATTGAAGCAGAATAACTAGTATTTGAAAATATTATTGATGGTGGTTTTATCATACTTATTTGGGGAAAAACAGTTGCACTGTTAGTGTCATAGGAGTATAATACTAGTAACTCATTTATATAGTCCTTTAAGGTTTACCAAGATCATGCCACACAATATTGTGAAAGAGTACCGATGTTATTATCCCCATTTTACAGATGAGGAAACTGAGTTGGGGAGAAAGTAACATACTTAACCAAGGTCATGTAACTAAAATCCAACCCTTCTGATTCAAAGAGGAAAATTTTTTTTTTTAGCTGACAAGAACTTTAGCAATAATTTAGCCCCAACACATTTCTCTATGCAGCTTCAATTTTACAGATTTATCCACCGAGGCCCAGAATGATTAAGTAAGCAGTCCAAGGTCACACTGTTTTCCAATAGCAAAATCAGGGCTAGAATTTAGGGTTCCTTCTTACTTTCAGTAAATGGCCTTATGGCAAGATCAAATGCCCTGTTTTAGTTTGTATAACTTTTTGGATTTTTCTTTGAAATTATGTTTGGAGGTTTGGTCTTTACCAAGAACCAAGAAATTAGGTTTTGGAAAGCATGTAATTTCTATGAGAAGTTTAAAGTAAAAATCAAATTTACAGTTTTATGATAGTAAACAATGCATTTCTATCTTAATTTGAATAATTTGGCATTGATTTTCTACATAATAAATTGAATTCATCCATAATCAAATGGTTTATTACTTTCTTGTGAGAACTAGGTTATTTCCTTCCAGATTTGCTCTTTTTCCCCAGTATTTTAATCAGGCAGTCAGTTTTCCTTCTACCATTGTGTTAAGGATCCATAACTGACTTTTTGCAATGATAAATAAAACTCAAGAACTAAAATGCTGTCTTTTTAGGTGTGCTTCTTCCTCCCTAGCTTTTTATTTGAATAATAATTTCATTTTCTGGTCTTTGTTCCTCCCCCCTTCCAGTCTTTCCTTAACAGTTGGATTATGTATAAATCCTACTGTGGTGTTACTTATCATGGGAAAGAAAGACTACTAGCCATCTTAATAAAAGCATAGAATATTCTCAAAGAAATTTTTGGATAGATGATAGGATTTTAATAGATAATGATCACTGATCCAAATTGGAATAATGTACTAACAGATTTTGATTTGAAACTGATTTAGTTGACTTTAATTTTATAAGGTGATGAATACAGTGGTGAATCACTGGAGTAATAGGACCTCTTGCCCAGGTATGCAAAGTAGCAATTATTTTAGAGGTCCTTTTTCTCACTAGAGGGTTTTTGTTTTTTGTTTTTGTTTTGTTTTTTGAGAAGAGGTGGGCAGTTCTTATCCAAAGAGTTGTAAGCTTTGCACTTGGCAAATACCTACCTCTAATCTTGAGTGGAACGTACCTGAAATGCCCCAGAAAACTCCAAAATAGATTACAAAATATATTTACCTGAAAAAATATTTTTGATGTATTCCAAATCTATTGACTATGATGCTTTCTTGTTTCTATGTGATATATCTTTTACATAAATTAAATAGACATTGTTAGATGGGGAAAGTGTGTGTTTAGAAGAGTATTACTGTATGTTATTAAAACAGTATGATTTTTAAATGAATTTTCCACTTAATACAATATTTGGGTATTTCCATTGCTCCCTTTGAACAATGAAAATAAGACTCTATGGTTTCCATTTCTAGTTCTCCAGAACTAACCACAGTGATGTTAATACAATACTATACCAATACATAACCCAATGTTTTAAAAAGAGCATTTTTTTAATTGAAAAAGTAAGCTGTTGAAAACTTTTCTCAAGAGTGAAATTGCTGATATCAACTCATATTAAGCAGTTTGTTTCACATAATCATTTAAAAATTCATTTTTCAGGAAATTCTTATGTATTTTTGCTTTTGGGTTTTTTCCTCTCCAGATTTTATTTATATAACACCTGGCAGTATACCATTTCTTAAGTATGATTTAATTAGGTAGCACTATGCCCTATTTTGGAATTTTTATTAAAGCATACTGGATGCCTGCTAGAATTGATAGCTAAGCTTTTCTGCTCTAAATAAGTTGGGACTTTAAAAATTGTTATTTGATGGTATTTCTGTAAGTTTGAGAAAATTACTTCATAATAAGTCCATAAATGAATGCCCAAAGAACAGGGAATGCCATACCATTTCATATCATGATTAATAGTTCTGGTGGAACTGCCCATTAGGTAACAAAAGGATTGAACTCATGTTAGTCCGTTTTGTGATATTCCTTTTAGAACAAGGCTTTTCTCTTGGAGTCCATAAACTTGCTTTTAAAATATTTTAACAACTGTATTTTAATATAATTTGTTTCCTTTGTAATTCTTATGTATTTTATTTTATGTATTCAAAAACATTACTCTGAGAAAGGGTCAGTAGGCTTCATCAGACTTCCACAGGAGTCCATGATTTGAAAAAGGTTAAGACCCCCATTTGAGAACAATATCTGAGGAACAAGTTATGTGCCTTTATGAAGACAAGTAAATTTCTGCTTCTGTTCTTGTGACTTTTCAAATGGCTTCATGTTGCACAGTTCTTAACTGTTAAAACTTTTATCTTTACTCTTAGAAAAATACTTTTTTGCACACTAATTTAATAATAAAGGATAAGTAATTAGTAGTGTTTAGCAATAGAACTGTAATAAAAATTATAGCATTACTGTAATGGGAAAGGACATCTTTTTCTTTTTC